AACTGATGTCACTCGTCACACAATGAATCATGAACCAATCCGTCTGTGGTGACGAGGTTCAGTGTGTCGTCACACACACCAAACTAAAGCAGCTTCCAGCTGGTTTTTCTTTGCTAAGGAAGTCAAACATCATTTGTAGGAACTGCTGTCAGACAGGAGAGAACTGATGCAGCTCAGAAAATGTCTGACCAAGTCCCCAAATATTTACAGGAGGCCATCATTTCTCACCTGGTCGGAGTTTTACAAGTGAGCTTTGGATCAAATCATTTCAGAACCAGTTTCAGAGCCTTCAAAACATTTTGTCTGCAGTCCTTCTGTCAGAACAAACACACAGCTGTGTTGTCTGCATACACAGGAAATACAATTTAGCTACATAAACTTTATTTGAATCAGTGATAAAAAAGGTGAATAAAAGAGGAGCGGCCCACCGTAAAGCTCAGGGACCCTCAGCCTGAACCGACTGGATCTTATGACAAAGCCAACAATCCTGAGTTTGTCTAAAAGTCATTTCTAATCCTCTGAGTGCATCATTAGACCCAACCACAGCTGCAGCCCCTCTGCTGGGACCACTGCTAGAACACGCTTCTAGTTCTTCTTTTTTATCAATGCCCCCTCCCAGTGTTCTGAGTGGGTTCTGCTGGGCCTACCTTCACAGCTGCTGTGACCCTCTTCATAGCCGGCGCTGCAGCTGCACTTCCCGATGGGCACCAGCCACTCTCCTTCAGCGCTGCAGTGCATCCTGGGAGGGACGTCCGTGTCCACCTCAGAGTTATTGACACAGGAGCCACGCACCTCCACCAGCGTGGCGAAGGCGGCCTCGGCCACCGTGTCAGGAAACACCGCCAGGTTCTGCACGGTCGCCAGACAGCGTTTATAGTAAACGCGGACGGCCACCAGAGCCACGCAGGCGCCCACGTCCTGGAAGGCCAGGTGGAAGCCCTTCTTGTTCAGGTGACCGATCTCACGCACCTCCGTGTTCAGCTTCATCTTCCTCTCCCCGAGGTCGCCCTGCGTGAAGCTCTCGTCTGCAGCGATGGTGTCTATCTTGGTGTAGCGGTCCTCCCGGGTCACGCCACCCAGGTCCCGATCCGACTCAACGTACAAGAGGTTAAAGGTCTCCTTACAAGTCCCAGCTACTCCCGGGATGCTGTTGCAGTCCCGCAATGTGAACTGCAGCTCCACGAAGATCCGCTGCCCGCCGCGGCGTGTCACCCAGCCGGTCTGCAGCCAGTTGTTCTGCTGCAGGGGCTCCATCACGTTACACACCTGGTAGGTCCGAATGGGCTTATACTTCTCATCCACACCGCTGATCTCCTCCCACTGTGGGTGTGTGTGTTGGGGGGATGAACATGTC